TGTATAATACCTGTTAAGGAATGTTTATTGAGACCCCCTGTATAATACCTGTTAAGGAATGTTTATTGAGACCCCCTGTATAATACCTGTTAAGGAATGTTTATTGAGACCCCCTGTATAATACCTGTTAAGGAATGTTTTTTGAGACCCCTGTATAATACCTGTTAAGGAATGTTTATTGAGACTCCCTGTATAATACCTGTTAGATCTACAGTTTCGAAGCTTTTTCTGCGTAAAGATGGAGATCAAAACTTGTAGATTATATAATATTCACACAATATATAATATTCACACAAAATAAGACCCAGCAAAAATAAATGTTTGCTGAACAAAAAATACCCTAAAAGTTAAAAAATTTTAAACATCAAATAAGTTCAAAATATAACCTCATTATTCTTACTTGAAAGAGATGATTCCCGTTTTGGTGCGTCCGACTAAACTAGAGTTTTCAGTTTAAAAAGTGTAAACATTATTAAATTAATATTATAAAATTCCTAGAATGTTCCCGGCCACAGTGATAAAGGTTAAAAAGTACATGATAGGAACACCAAGCACTAAATCCAAATTTACACCCTGCAACCAATTCATGTGGTATGACCATTTATTTATATATATTAACACATTTTTTGGGAATAATTGAAAACACAGAAAGGATAAGACTTGTTTTAAAGAGAGAAATTCCCCATTCACAATCGTATCCTTGAAACCTTAATGTGGAAGATACCATGATTTTTTTTTGTTTGAAACTGCTTAATTCTGATATTTTTGTCATTGAGTTTGAACCGAAAAATACGCAACTAAGTTTTGAAGAGAAACCTTAAGTTAAAACAAACAAAAACATGGCTATCTAATTTATACCTGATAAAACACAGTTTTAATGTGTACTCTTGTATCAAATAAGGCTTACTTTAAATTTAAAGTTGCATTATTAAATAAAGATAGTTTCACCCTTTCTCTTGAACCCTGTATCCGCTTCAAAAGCTATTTTTTCAGAAGCTAAAGAAAGTTTTTTATAAACCACATTTAAATTTTCCTGCGAAGTATCTAAATTCTTAGAAACAGTATTTGTTTCGTTCCAAATCTTGGACTTTTCATCAGCATGTTTTTCTGTTACCTCCATTTTCAGATTTTTTCTTTAAATTATTTAGAATATAACTTAAACGGAACTCAACCGTTTACCTTCTAATCCCTATATCTTGTGAACCATTGAAATCGTTTCATTCCAAACTTTAGAAATGTTAGTACTTAATTCCTAATTTTACTCAATTAAATATTTCGAAATTGATGAAAAGTAAAACTCTTTACGTTGTTTGTAACTAACTTTTTTATATAATTTTTTGTGCCATTTTATAAGAATGCTCAAATCCACTTTGCAACAGTTCCAAAGTTTTCTTTGATACATTTTACAAAAATATCTTTTTGTATAATCACTATCACTATCACTAATGTAAGCTAAAACAGAATAAACTTAGATTTTGTCAAAATTAAACTTTATAAGATGGGTATCAAATTATTCGTCTTGAAACACAAGTAAAAATCCCATGAAAATTAATTGAATATATTATAAGCAAACAACTTTTTTGGAAAGAATTGAAAAAGTTTTTTTTTAGTCTTAAAACGGACAAATGGGCGGTATTCAGTAGTTCAAGATAAATCTTTCAATACAAATATCAACAGTTGAAAAAATTTGAGAAATGACCTTCCTTCAGGGGCGTATTCAAGAATTTGTCCGGGGGGGGGGGGCTCAGCACCCGTATGGGCATGAAAACCCCCTGAAATCAATAGATTTCACTGGTCCGGGGGGGGGGCTTAGCCCCAATAGCTCCCCTCTGAATACGCCTCTGCCTTCCTTTATGATAGCTGTTATTATATAAAATCGTTAATGCTACAGCATGATATTTTGCTGGTGCAACAAGAATTCACGCACTATATTGATGAAATAAACATTTATTTCCAGAAATTCTGTAGATACATACACAAAGGATGAGACTGTAAAGACGACAGGAAACTCTTAAAATATGACGATCCCAAGTTTAAATTAAGTGTTATGCATTACATGTAGTAATCTCATGGCTTATTTAATGATTTGGCAAAGAAAAAATCAAGTTTACAGTTGCAGGCAGGGAATCGTAAATATAAGAAAACAGACATAATAAATTCCGTACAGTCGTCTCTGATTTCTAGTTCTTTGAAGGTAACTGTAATTATTTACTGATTTGTTAACGTTAGGTTGAGCAAAAGTATTCTACTTAGATCCAAGTATTCTTGATAACACAGGTTTCCGGTTTATTTTTCAAACTTTAGAATATTGGAGAAAATATATAAATAAAAGAGACTGTAAGCGTAATTTCAAATGACCTACCATTTATAGAGTGGCATGTCCGTTTTATAACAATACCCTTTAAACTCTAGTTTGATTATTGATTTTGTAGATATTTTAATTTATAAAGCGGAAAACTAAGTGCTAAGAAACCGCGCAAGTGTACATTAGCACAGAGCGCCGCTTTTATACTTTAATCAGGAGTCTCCTCTTTCAGCACTCAATCTTTGGATTATACAGAGGATATTTTCTATTTACATCATCGTTGTCCGGACAAAGATTTAAAAGATACAGTTGTGAATTGAACACGCTTCTCTAGTACTGGATGGTCACTTGAAATTACGCTTACAATCCCTTTTAGCGGAACTTAAAAATGGATTTACTTACATATGTGATAACGTTTAAATCTGAATAATTAGTTCCGTTTTTTATAAATATTAATCTTGAAGAAGATAGATAATCATAATTTCTTTTAAGTCTTGTGGAACTTTAGAGCTCTTCATTATATGTCTACTGAGATACTAAACAAACTTGTTTCATTATCCCATATGATAGAACCTAGGAGGAGACAAGATTACCATGTTCCAATCCAATCTGATCGAACCTAGAGGACAAGATTACTATGTTCCAATCCGATCTGATCCAACCTAGAGGACAAGATTACTATGTTCCCATCCGATCTGATAGAACCTAGGAGACAAGATTACCATGTTCCAATCCAATCTGATAGACCCTAGGAGACAAGATTACTATATTCTAATCCAATCTGATCGATTTTAGGAGACAAGATATCTATGTTTCAATCCAATCTGTTCGAACCTAGGAGACAAGGTTACCATGTTCCAATCCAATCTGATCGAACCTAGAAGACAAGATTACCATGTTCCAATCCAATCTGATCGAACCTAGAGGACAAGATTACTATGTTCCCATCCGATCTGATAGAACCTAGGAGACACGATTACTATGTTCCAATCCTATTTGATCGAACCTAGGAGACAAGATTACCATGTTCCAATCCAATCTGATCGAACTTAGAGGACAAGATTACCATGTTCCAATCCAACCAGATAAAACCTAGGAGACAGATTACCATGTTCCAATACAATCTGATCTAGAACCAGGAGACAAGATTACCATGTTCCAATCCAATCTGATCGAACCTAGGAGACAAGGTTACTATGTTCCGATCCGATCTGATAGACCCTAGGAGACAAGGTTACTATGTTCCAACCCAATCTGATCGAACCTAGGAGACAAGGTTACTATGTTCCAATCCAATCTGATCGAACCTAGGAGACAAGGTTACTATGTTCCAATCCGATCTGATAGACCCTAGGGGACAAGGTTACTATGTTCCAATCCAATCTGATAGACCCTAGGAGACAAGGTTACTATGTTCCAATCCAATCTGATAGACCCTAGGAGATAAGGTTACCATGTTCCAATCCAATCTAATAGACCCTAGGAGACAAGATTACTATATTCTAATCCAATCTGATCGATTTTAGGAGACAAGATATCTATGTTTCAATCCAATCTGTTCGAACCTAGGAGACAAGGTTACCATGTTCCAATCCAATCTGATCGAACCTAGGAGACAGATTACCATGTTCCAATCCAATCTGATCGAACCTAGGAGATAAGATATCCATGTTCCAATACAATCTGATCGAACCTAGGAGACAAGATTACCATGTTCCAATCCGATCTGATCGAACCTAGAGGACAAGATTACCATGTTCCAATCCAATCTGATAGAGCCAATTAAGTTATTCTTAATTTACGGAATCACACTTCAAGATTTACTCCATACTTAAAATATTCTGTACAATTATTAATGCTTTTATTGTTAAATTATTGCAATACTTAGTATTTAAAAATTCTTCTTTATCCCAAGATTAGTGCACATTCGACACCTTTTCATATGTGTCAAAAATTATGGCGGTCACTTGGAACATTTGGTTATACATAACACCCCAAACTAACCAGAAAGAGAAGCATTCGGTTTCTTTTATTTGAAATCAAACGTGTTTTGGTCTATAATTCTACACTCTTTAAACTTACAGATTTATATATTTTATACTTTTTTTCCAAATGAATACGCCAATAAAAAACTGTTTCGAAAAAAGGCTATAAAATTATGTATAAGGGGTCAAATTGTGATCAAGTCACAGCTATCTGAAATATTGACAGAAGCGTTAAATCCACGTGATGAAGATAATGTTTAACTCTTTTTAGGTAAAAGTTCTTTTGCTCTTTGCTGTGATAGGAAAGCAGTAACTTCCCAAAACGAGAGGTTTTTAGAACTAGAAAATGCTCAGATGACAGAGGGGGGGGGCATACGACCTTGAGTTCAGCAATATCCTGTTCGAACCCAGGTAGTTACAGAATCCTGCCCGAACCCCCTGGAATCCTTTTCGAGCCCATCATAAGACTACTCAAAAATAAAACTTTTATTGTTTATTGACTTAAAAAAAAAAATTAAGGAAAAGGAGCGGGAATAGTTTCCATACTCCTCTTAGGTATAAGATAACATTGAATGCTTTAAAACTCTATTTGTCTTCATAGATTTAAAAATCGAATGATCGCAGTGATGAATAGATGATATGAACAATCCATGCATATAAATGTATATTGGAACTCTTTATTTAAAATTTAAATCCTTCACGCCAATCATCAAAAATGTGTAGAAAGTATGTAATTAGGATATTTATGAACTATAAATGAATATATAAATTATTATTTTCTTTTTAAAGTCAATATCAATTAAAGGATTTGTTAAGCAGTCTTTTGTCAGCATTCCGCTGGGTTAATTAGGAAAGGGTTCTGCTAACTACCTGGGTTCGAACAGGATATTGCTGTGCTCATGGTCGCATGGCTCCCGCTCCCTCCTCAGATCGGGGAATGAGCAATTTCTACAGCAAAAGCATCATAAAAACATGTTACTAAGTTGGTAAACGTTATTAGCCCATAAACTAATAGTACAATACACTATAAAGAAGACATTTTTTATTTATAAACAAATTATATACATGGTAATTATAGAACTTAGTGCAACTCTTTTAGAGGACAGTGCAGAGGCTGCTGTAGAGGTACACAGATTAATCACTAAATAAATCACAAAATGTTGATTGATTTTAAATAATGGTATTCGATTTAGATACAGATTAATAGAAATACAGATAAAACACTAGATGTTGTCTTTTCAAGATTTAAAAATAACTCTGAGGCAGAAGCCCAAAGTAGTTAATATGTGCATGCTCTCTCTTTGTCTTTGTCATTTAACACTGCATGCGCTTAACTCCTTTGGGCTTCTGCCTCAGGGTTATTATGAACGAAAAACCACTAAATCTTGAAAATACGAAATGTAGTGTTCTATTGGTATTGTTTTTAATTTATGGATTAAACTTATATTGGGAGAAAGCTGCAGCATTTTAACTTTTGAAAGGCTGTTTTATTCCTTTCAATTAAAACATTTAAAAAATATTTACATTCCTGAAACAAAAAAAGTATTGCGTTATTTTTAGTAAAAGAAACTGTTTTTACTTCATCCAAGCCAGAAAATTTGTTTATTAACCCTATCACAATGGGAGTGGGGGAGGGGGGTGTATTCCACCCCCTCCTGTGTGTTTTTTTTTTAAAAAACGTTTTCAATTTCTATAATTGTGAACAAATTTTGCACTTTTTTATGCATTTATGCGTTTAAAATATGAATATTGACATACACACTAGAACAAAGTGACCGCCAGGTTTAAAGTTGGGAAACACACTAGACCAAAGTGACCGCCAGGTTTAAAGTTGGGAAATACACTAGACCAAAGTGACCGCCAGGTTTAAAGTTGGGAAATACACTAGACCAAAGTGACCGCATGGTTTAAAGTTGGGAAACACACTAGATCAAAGTGACCGCCAAAACCGCAGAACTTTCCTTAATGATTTTTGAATAAATCTACCTCATTTGAAAATGCACAAAGCTAAGAATGAATATTTAAAAAAGTTTACGGGATGATTATGCCATGTGGAATAATCTAGAAAAATCACACTCAGCTCTGTAAAGCATCTCGGGGGTGGATTTATTTTTTTACTTGGATTAAGAAAGGTTCCACCGTTCATTTACATACATTTATAACTTTTAACAGCTTCAGCTCAAATAGATTCAGCCTGCTTATAAAAAATCTTATCAATCTTTAAGACAGGGCTGATTTTGAAGTGTCGCAACTCCTTGGGCTTTAATTTTATAGCTCTAACTCACTTATGCTTTTCTGTAGCCCTTTACATTTACATTTAAGCACTAAAAAGCATTTGTTGTTAAATTTTTGTTATTTGGGCTTAAAGAAGTAATTTGCAATATTCTCATAGATTTTTTCTTGAGAGGTTGAGACTATTTAATCACAGTGTCAGGAATTATTCCGCAAGGCCTTTACGGACCCACAAAGATCCATAAAAAACCCTAGTTTAAATTGAGTGCCCTAACTTTGAACCTGATGATCAGTTTGGTCCAGTGTGGACACCCTGTACACTGTACAGTGTTTTTACTGCTTACCTTAAGCAGATATCTACTTTCTCCATTTCTTCTTCTGGTAACCCCTGTTAAGTAGGGATGGGCACGATCGTATTTTAAAAAGATGAAAACTACTTATTCCAATTCATAATTTATTTTTAAATAAATTATTCTGACCAATTTATTTCTCACGCATTTTTAACTGACTTTAAACATTGTAATAAAATCGGTGACATGGAAACGCCTCAACACGGAAATGCCTCAATAAAACAGAATCATAAAACTAATTTAATGTCGTCTTCTCTCAACTTAAAAAGACTATATTCTATCGATTTTCACAGCCATGGCCGCAGCGCTCGGCTTCCTAGCCTGTTCTAGCCGCAGCGCTCGGCTCNCAGAATAAGACAGAATAAGAGAGAATAAGACAGAATAAGATGGAATAAGACAGAATCAGACAGAATCAGACAGAATAAGACTGAAAAAGACAAAATAAGACAGGATAAGACAGGATAAGACAGAATGAGACAGAATAAGACAGAATAAGACGGAATAAAACAGAATCAGACAGAATAAGACAAAAAAGACAAAATAAGACAAGATAAGACAGAATGAGACTGAATAAGACAGAATAAGACGGAATAAGACAGAATAAGACAGAATAAGACTGAAAAAGACAAAATAAGACAGGATAAGACAGAATGAGACAGAATAAGACAGAATAAGACGGAATAAGACGGAATAAGACGGAATAAGACAGAATCAGACAAAATTAGACTGAATAAGACAGAATAAGACAGAATAAGATCGTTTTAAAAAAAATCCCAAACGGTGCCCATCCCCTGTACCTATAAGATCCGTCAGGATCTGGGAACAGGTCCCTGAATAAGAAGTTAGTGAGAGCCATAGATTAATAACAATACAGATATTTTCAAGAGGTTTTTCGTTCTAAATAACCTGGTGAAGGAGAAGCCAAAAGGAGTCACGCGCATGCCGGGTTGAATTACAAGAGAGAGAGCGAGCCTGCTTTAACTCTTTTAGACTTCTGTCATAGGGTTATTGTGAACGAAAAACCTCTGAAAACTTGAAAATAACAAATTTCCTGCGAAAACGGGATTTCCGATGGATACTCTCAGATACAAATTACAACTAAGAACACTCGGTACTTAACCTGAGACAAAGATGAGAAGGATGAGAAGAATGAGAAGGATGAGAAGAATGAGAAGGATGAGAAGGATGAAGAGGATATGAAGTATTAGATGGATGAGAAGGATGCGAAGGATGAGCATGATTAGAAAGATAAGAAAGATGAGAAGAATTAGGAGGATTAGAAGAGTTAGAAGGATAAGAAGGATATGAAGTATAAGATGGATGAGAAGGATATGAAGGATGATAAGAATGATAAGGATGAGATAGATGATAAGGATATGAAGTATGAGAAGGATGAGAAGAATGGGAAGGATGAGAAGGATGACAAAGATGAGAAGGATGATAAGGATGAGAAGGATATGAAGTATAAGATGGATGAGAAGGATGAGAATGATGAGATGGATGAGAAGAATGAGAAGGATGAGAAAGATGAAAATAATATGAAAGATGAGAAAGATGAGACGGATGAGAAGGATATGAAGTATAAGATGGACGAGAAGAATGAGAAGGATGAGAAGGATATGAAGTATAAGATGGATGAGAAGGATAAGAATGATGAGATGGATGAGAAAGATGAAAATAATATAAAGGATGAGAAGGATGACAAGGATGAGAAGGATGACAAGGATGAGAAGGATGACAAGGATGAGAAGGATGACAAGGATGAGAAGGATGACAAGGATGAGAAGGATGACAAGGATGAGAAGGATGACAAGGATGAGAAGGATGACAAGGATGAGAAGGATGACAAGGATGAGAAGGATGACAAGGATGAGAAGGATGACAAGGATGAGAAGGATGACAAGGATGAGAAGGATGACAAGGATGAGAAGGATGACAAGGATGAGAAGGATGACAAGGATGAGAAGGATGACAAGGATGAGAAGGATGACAAGGATGAGAAGGATGACAAGGATGAGAAGGATGACAAGGATGAGAAGGATGACAAGGATGAGAAGGATGACAAGGATGAGAAGGATGACAAGGATGAGAAGGATGACAAGGATGAGAAGGATGACAAGGATGAGAAGGATGANATTTTTAAAAATTTGCCTCCATCAAAATTCAATTTCATTAAATTTGAAAATACGCAAAAATTTGTTTATAAAATCCGCAAACTTTATTTTGGATTTGTTTTACAATGTTTCCAAAGAGAAAATGCTCACAATTGAAATAGAAGATGGGCGTGAAGCGCTATAAAAGCGTAGTTATTAATTTAATACTTTCAAATTGACATTATGAAAAAGGGCTTATTAGAATATCTTCCTTTCATTCACTTCTTAAAATATGGAATAAACTTCCACTTGATTTAAAAAGAAGTGCCTCAGTAGTCATATTCAAAAAAAGTTTGTCAGAAATGCTATTTTATTCCTACATCACAAAGTCCAAAAAAACATTTTGCTATTCTTGCAAAATATAGATTTTTGTACATGCTTAATCTTATACATACAGAACTTACAAGCTGAAAATTAATTTACGCTTTTTTATGGCACCTTGTTAACTATAATAATATTTAACTTATTGCAAACTTTAAAATCCTAGAACTATTCAACATCCCGAGTCTAAATGTTTTTTTTTAATTAGGTGGGGATACAACCTAAAACAGTGTAAGCTAATGTCCACTATTTGCTATAGTACATATTTGTAAACAATAAATAGTTGCACATTTATTGCCTTTAACATGATAAAATTTATATGTATGTGTTGTTAGTAATAAATATATCTTATCCTAACTTATCTTACCCTTATTATATTCAGAAACGAAATATTGTTGGCAACGCAGCCTTCCTGTCCACAGCATACTCTAAGATATGAAGGGTTATCCATGTCCCAGGGTTATCCTGTCCCAGGGTTATCCATGTCCCAGGGTTATCCGATTAACAACAGTACCGTTTAAACATTTGACTGATAAGTGTAGTCGCGGAATTATCCTCGCTTTTAATTTCTAATCATTTGGTTTTTAAGCTGATTTATATTTTAAGAATATTTTTATTCGCTTTCTATAGAAGTGTCAGAAAACACATATATTCGTTTGAATTTTTGAATTTAACACAAGAATAAGATATTGGTAATTTTTTTTAAAGAAAAGCAAAGGATCTCTTGTGTTTAAATTACGTTTACAGTCCCTTTAAGGGATTGCTATTTGCAAATAAATGTTTCTAAAGAGAACAGTCCCATTTTTTAATTCATTATATTTAAAAAAAATACTAAATGGTATTAATAATTCGGCTTAGAAAAGAAAATATGATTGATGTTACAAATCACAATAGAAAAATGTAGGGGAATAACATCTGTAAAGAAATTGAGTTTTTCCCACAAACGCTGATTTTCTAATTTCAATATCGCTGCAACCCAATATTGTAGACTTTTGAAATTTCAAACAATGAATGCTAATTGATCAAATAATGTAAATTTGAAATATCAGAGGTCTATATCATCAGGTTGCAAAGATATATGGATTAAAAAATTGAACTTAAGGCAAAGAAGTAGGCACATTTTTTCATAAACTAAAGGTATGATTACCATTTTTACCAAAATGATAACTTTGAGAACAATTATCATTTTTGCCACAAACTCAAATATTCGTATCCCTATATCTGGGCAACCCGATGTCGTAGACCTTAGATATTTCAAACTATTAATTCTGTTAGATCAAATAATCTAAGTTTGAAATATCAAAGGGTTAAACCCATTGGTTGCAGAGATATAGAAATTAGAAATTTTGAGGTTGTGGCAAAAACTCAATTCCTTTACCGAATCATATAGTAAATTATAAAAGAAAAAAAGTGTTAGGGTAATTTTAACCCTATGCTAGTTGGGCTATTTATTGTCTAATTTGCGTTATAAGCATAGAGAATATAATATATATTATAGGGGAATTTAGAGAACCTCTCGGTATGAATTTTGTTAGTCCCTTTCAGCCTGAAAGGGAGTTCAAAGTGTACAAATCATGTAAATGTTCACAAAAAAAGTAATTATTGGAACGAAATACCCATGTCCAGAGAAGCACTATCTCTTTAAAATGGAATGTGTCAAATTTTACATGGCTTGTGTCTGTAAGGAGTATTTTACTCTTTAAAAACACAAGCGATGAAAAATTTGACGAATCCAAAAGTCTGAAGGATTTATAACCTAAAAACCTCCTTTAAATTTTCTCAATTACTACCAATTTTTGAATATTCTTTGCAAATAATAAACTAGTTCGAAAATTACCGTTGGTCAACATCGAACTCCTCAAATCTACAGATTCCACATCTACAGCTACTGGACATACTAATCTGAAAGAAAATTCAAGTCCGGATTGATCAATTAGTCTAAAGAGTCCCGATTTTACTAGAACTTTCAAGTTAAGAACTATATATGCAAAAATGTCGCAGCACTTTTTGTACCGATAGATTTGGTGATAATCTGAAAAGATTTACATTCTTTGCACTGACAAGGTAGATCTCAATACTGTAGAGATGTCTTTTGATTTGTCTAATTTCAGCTTTCGTTACGAAAGTGTTCATCAACAGGTCAACATTGCGTTAAAGCTTTGTAATATAACCACAATTTTCTAACGTTCCGCTTTCATCCAAGGTAAATGTTTTTAAAGACCTTACGTTAAACTTTCACTTGGTTTGAAAACTAAAAGGTGACAAACATTTTGCTTTAATAAGGCATTAAGGCATAGTTATGCACGTTGCAATGCATTTCAGTGCAAATAATATTTTTTGTTAACATAACGTTTTATCTAAATATTCCCATATAAACTTTTTAAAATTAAAATGCAACTTTTCTCATGTTACGATTTATCAAAACGTTATTGTGATAACTTTGTACAACTAGCAATACACTATTTTACAACTGGCAATCAACTATTTTACAACTGGCAATCAAAAATGTGTTTTAGTTCTGTTTCTATAAAAAAGATTTAATTTGTTCCATGATGAAGCATGAAGTGAGTTTTCACCTATTTCTGAATATTTAACCATCTTAAATCAAAACATACAAAAAAATTATGTCAAATATCGTCAATATAAAGTTAAATGATTTCTAATAAGTTCACATTTTAAAATCCATAAAAAATTGCCAGAGATAACCCAATTTAGCCGAGAATGGTTGAAAAGGGCCAAAAATGGCGGGAAAAACTAGCAGTAAAATTTAGTATTTAGAGAAAAGCTATTAGATGTTTTGATTAACAGAATTACATATTTTTAAATGTTATACATTACACACTATTAAAAATTATAATCTTTATAAAAAGGTTTCGTTTCCAGAATATTCAATAAATAAAAAATTTCTGAAACTTTTATTTTAATATTAGGGGAAAGTTTTAAAAAAATTTTAAAGAAAGGAAATTATCGGTTCTGAAATCTCAATTAGTTGATCGGTTTACTCAAATTTTTGGTCCGTTTCCTCATATTTTTGATCCATTTCCTCTTATTAAAAAACTTTTAAATCAGAATTTGAAGTAAAAAAACAGCATTTTTAATCGTTGAAGGGTTTGCTCTGCGCTCAATATTATACCAAATTCTTAAATAACAATGGTTTGTTCTTAAGTGCAGTTTTAAATAAACATACTTTGTCATACAAGGTGCTAAAAAAAATCCGGAAATGACTCGAAAAGAAGAGAAAACGTCTCAACAAAATAAGGCTTTAAAAGTTTTTCAAAAAATGAAAACGCCTTAAAAAAAAACGGAAAAGCCTCAAAAAAAAGAGGAAACGTTTCAACAAAATAAAGTTTTACAAGTTTTTTTTCAAAAAACGGAAACCCCAAAAAAAGAAGAAAACACCTCAAAAAAAAAAGAGGAAACGTTTCAACAAAATAAAGTTTTACAAGTTTTTTTTTCAAAAAACGGAAAACCAAAAAAAAAGAGGAAACACCTCAACTAAATCAAGTTTTTAGTAGAATTTAACAAAAGAATAAGATATC